TTCATAAGGAACTTTCAGAAGAATCCTATGAAATCTGAAAATTGCTTTTTATTTTATATCTTAACTTGATATTAATTTACAATATGTGTTAGTAGAAAGCGCTTTTCATTCACCAAGTAATATAAGTAACAAGTGTCAAACTCTACTTAAACCAATATAATTGAATGTAAGAAACCTTAATCCAAGAACTTGTTTGTATGTTTATATATATAGTTCATATATAACACATAAGATAATGTTTTGATACGTTATAAGAAATTTACAACACATTTTTTATAATAATAACCCTCTGTAGAAATCATTTTGAATAAGTCAAGTTATGTTAATTTATGCAAGGGATCCTTATTACAATCTGATCATATATATCTGAATGATCATATACATATTAGATTGGGAATAAAATTTTTTATACACTGACATTTTTTGATGCAGTGCACACAATGCACGGAACCGCAATGCTAAACTATTTTTCGTTTAAATGCATGAAAAAAATTGTAAGATATGATCTGAATGACGATAACGATAAAGTTCTATGTAGATTATTTTTTCCATGAAGACTGAATTTGTTTCTTGTCATAGAACTATGGATAAGAAAAAGAAGATCAAATGAAGTCTGAGTTTGATTGGATTGTGATTTACTTTGTAGAGAAGGAAATACATTTTCATATAATATTTTTCTTGCAATTTTTTTCCAAGATCTTATATATATATATATAAAATTTTTACACATGCACGCACATACAATAAACTGTATCTATAGACAAAAGTAGACTTTTCAGTAGATTTTTATGATTTTCTTTGTCTCTTCATAAGACAGAAATTATACACATGATAAATTTTTTTTATATGAACTTGTTACTTTTTTATTTATGTCTTTTCAACCAGCTCTTGATGAGAAAACAATATGTTAATGTACATCTAAATATCATAATAATTGAGCGTAAGCATGAATATGTGATTCGAATATGTCCAGTAATATTCAAAAGAGAAGATTCATTGGATAACGATGTCATGATTTTGAAGATGCCTTAGCTCCTCGTTATTAGCAATATGTATAAGATGATATATATTTTGAAAAGAAATATTGTAGTTCTCATTGAACTTTCTCCATTTTCCTTATATCAATGACTGTTGATATATATATATATATATATATGAGTAGTTTATGAACACATTGAAATTCTCATTTTACATTTAATGTAGTTAAAAAATAATTCAACACTGTAGTGAAGATTTGATGTATTTATAATAATTATCCAAGTTATGGAAGTAGAGACTATAACTTGATCATCTTCATATTTTTTGATGTAAATATAATTTTCTACAAATATACTTATATCAAACGATTTACAAAAAAATACAAAATAGAATATGATTAAGTCTACATCATAACAAAAGTATACAAATGAATCTAAATGAAAAAATGAGTAAAATTTTAATCATTTTGTCAATAAAAAATTTGCATAGAAAAGCAAAATTTCATAATAAAAACAGAGAATTTCAATTTTTTTAATCACACATTTTTCACAAAAATCTGAATGATATAAAATAACGACTCAACATGATTATTTAGCTTTTAATTCATCTTGACATAAATTATTGTATAAATTTTTTTATACCTCGTTAAATTCAAAGTATATTATATGAAAAAAAGATAAGTATCAATTAATAGAGCATACAACTTGTATTATTATATTTTGAAATCTTGGAAAATTTTCAGGAAACAACTACAGTGGGACCTCCTGTTGGGGATCGCGTTCGGTGGACACCAAAGATGATTTTTATCGGGAGGGTATGCAAGACGACAGAGAGGTTAGATTATCAATAAAACATGATATAAAATACATTTCTACTATTTATTTCAATGTCTAGGACTTAACCGAAGGTTCAACTACTGTAAAGAATGACCTAAGAACTTGTTGCTTGATTTTGTTGTTTATTTCACATCTAAGATCACGTAGAATACAAGGAACCATTGTTCGGACCTTCTCATACTCAGATCCCGTCTAAGTTTAAAAGAAACGGTTTGATCGAGAAATTGCAATGCATGACTGTGATAGCAAGATGAACGGCTCAGGCTCCGGTGCTGGTTTCTCCAACTCCTCAATAACTTCTTCTGCAACTTTCAAAGTATTGATACGAGCTTGATGAATAATATCATCCTCCGAACATTCCTTCTCAGGTGATAAATCAAGCAGCTTCTCTGCTATCAGAACTTGCTTGCTTGAACTGCACATGATACCGAAACTTTGTTCAAAGCATCTTGCAATTCTGAAACAGCCTGATCTAAACTTGAAGTTTTCGTCGATGATGAGATATTCATAGGAAGTATGCCGGAGTGACGCAAGTAGTTTGTGACGGTTTGCTAATTAACTTGATCCCAAGTTTGTAAGCAGAGTCGCATGGCTTTGAGCTAATCAATGAAGTAAATGTTTTCAAGTACTTCTTCATCGCGATCAAGGACCCGTATGATGTAAAAGCATCGGTAATGAACTTTAAATGTTTTAATGTACCCGACATCCATTGATTGAATATGAGATGTCATATTTGGTTCAAGAAAGTAAATTGTGATATGGACAATTTTTCAGGGTCGAAGATGTGAGAAGCTGCATTGTTGACAAAGAGAGCAATGTGACGACCTTGTCTCCTCATGTCTCGATTGAAGTCATCAAGCCATTTTTGAAAAAAACGAGCTTGTCATACACGCCTTCTTGTTATAAGCGTAGTTAAAGCCAAGGTCTGTTCCATACTTCTTGTTAAAACACCGTGATCGACGAGCATGATCAAGAAATAGACGTTGTTTGCGCACATTGCTAGAGTAATTCAAGTTTTGTCACTTTTTGTGTTCAACATCTGCTTTGTTGCAAGTGTTTTATCGGGTGACATCCAATAGTAAAGTCTGATATTGTTCATATTGTAGATGTCACGTGTAGCATATTTCTTCGTTATCTCTTGAAGTCGCTTTCGTGCAGCCTCAACATTTTTAGTGGAAATTGAAGCAACTTCACCATGCAATTGGTATTGCTTAATCCCATGCTTATGCTTGAAAGTATCACATCAGCTATTCAAAAATTTCAGCTTGTATATTTTTGAAATTCCTAATTCTATCGCAAACCGTTGCGCCTTGATTCAAAGAACATCACCCGTCATGCGAAAACTTTGAGCCATTGTCTGCTCAAACCACATCTTCAACGTATCTTCAAGCTCGGAAGATGTTACTTTTTGAGTACGCTTTAAAACAATGCACCAAGATACTTTTTCTTTGCACTGAGTAGTTTCTTGGACTCCTTGACCATCCGACTCATCGATGACTGAGATAACTTTGGAAACTCGGCGCGGAATTTCTTGGCAACTTCTTTCCAGGGTAGTCCATGAAGTCAAGAATGCGCAACTTATCATGCAGAGTAAGATTATGATGTTGTAATGGCTTTGCGACGACTGTTGTTATTGAGCGTCGAAGATATTTTGGAACATTGCAAGAAAAAAGATTCAACCTGTTCAAGATCGGAATTGGCGTTCGAGTATCCAGGGAGTGGACAGCTCAAATCAGTAGGAAAGGCTGATTGAGATTGAGACCATTAGATATCTTTGGCATCCTTCAATTCACCTCCCGGAAGCTGTGTGCAGCCGAGTGTGTCTAGATACATATTGAGCCATGGATGGGAGCCAATAGTAATGCAGATAGACATTGATAATTTGTGTATTTATATGTTAGATACATGTGGTTGTGGCCTATGAAAACCACAAGTTTTGTCTTGGAATAACTTGCCTTTAAGCATATTCACAATAAAATTTGGTGTGAGGTCTGTATGCATTATGTTTAACACAAAATATCCTTAACGCTACCCTAATTTTCTATCTACCAACTTTGTGGACAGGAATTTCCATGCATAATGAGAGAGAATCCCTATCCAGAGAGATGCTTAACGAGAGGTTTGACGGTATGAGACATTATAAAATAATCATATTGATTAAAATGAGGAAATTGAATTTTCTTATGAACAAATATACGTTTTTTATAATCAATAAAATATGCAATGATTTCTTAATACTAATAAAATTTATATGTCAATATCTCTCATCAACTTAATTTCATTGTTTATTGTGTGTTATCTGCGGGTTTGCGTACATTGTGCATCCATGTTTCTTAGGTGAATATATTCTTATTTCAGTTCAATTTATACTATCTTGTTGCTTCATTTTCTTTTCAACACATATACACATAAATGTTTTGCTATTTCGTTAAGTCAAATAGGTGTTTCTAATAGATTTTTGTTTTGTGCGCTTATTTGAAATCAGATTTTCATTTTGTACTCATCCTATGATTATACTTGATAATCCATTGCAATTTTTTTTACTCTCTATTATTTAAAACTGTATCAAAAGTATGGAATGATTGATTTCAGGTAATACGTCCAGATTTATTGCTAAATTATGAAAACATAATAGAAGTTATTAGATTTTTTAAAATGATAGTAGTTCCAAAGTCACACTCAAATTTCATAGAAAATATTATAAAATTCTTATTATAATTTATGCCTTATATCTTTTCTTTGACTACTAAAAGATAATGTTGAGTTCATGCGTTCATATTTTTATTTCTTTTCAAGGAGTTGATCACTGAAACTAAATTTAAAAAAAATGAAGTCATGAATATAAAATATGTCTTCCCCTCTATGCCAATACGAGTTACTGTGGAGAACAAATTGGCCCTTGTCGGTTAAAGTTTCTCAGTTAAAGTTTCATTTAAAACCACGACACTTTCATATCATCTCATAAGCACTAGATAGTAAAATTATGCCATGCCATAGAATACAACGTACGAGTGAACCCATATGTATCATGATACATATGGATGAAAGGTCGGTTGAACTGTACATTGAATATCGATCTTGTTGAAATTTCCTTTGCTGGAAAGAGAATTAATTTCTCCAGCTTGAAGTGAACTCAATCAGTAGGATATTTCGATAAAATCATGACACATTATATGAGAGAAAGGGGTGGTTCTGAGTTTCACTGCCTGTTGTTCAAGAGTTATACTCGAGGTGAGATCTGAAACCTCAACCCGCTAGAAACCTGCATTCGATTCAGATCTTCTTTGTTTATATAAATCAACTTGCTTGTCTTCAAATAAGATCTAGAGAGTTGCTTCAGAATCTAACTCAAATTCAACCAAAGTCAGAACACGAAACTTCGTTCATGTGTTTGTTTCTCGATCACTACTTACCAAATTTTCGGTACGAATAAACCGCTCTTTACTGGCTAGGAAAATTATTGGCTCTTCTTTTGTTCCCTAGTCCTTGGAAACGGCAGTTTAATTTATCGTCTGGATAGGAACAAGGAGGGAGGACGAGCAGCGGAGGATCGTCCAAAGGACACAAAATAATTCTCAACAAAAGCAGAAGAATTCCGAAACAACATCTAAAGGCGACCGCAGAGTGAGCCTTTCCGAAAAAGTCTTGCCCGAAAAGAAACGAAAAAGAAAAGGAAAGACAACGATATCCGGTACCGCTCTTACCTGAAGTGACGTGACATGACGCGATCCGATCGGCAGAACACGACAAGCAGAACCCATTTGTGTGCTCCGGCGTCCGGATCTGATTCCCGAACTGACTCCCGAACCCCGGGTCCGGTAGCCCTAGCCTCGCCGTCCTGTACCTGAACAATGGTCCATCGCTTCATAACTGACAATTTTCACCTCACGTGAAAACTCTAGGCGCGATCCTAACGAGAACCTCCACCCGACCACCTAAAATTGCCCCGTATTTTTAGGTGGTCGGGTGGAGGTAATTTAGACATTAGGTAATTAAGACAAGAGGTAATTAAGTAATTAAGACAATATCTATATATTGAAAGATTTTGTCTATTTACAGTTAAAATCTATTGTTAAGCTGATAAATATCAGTTGAATTTAATCTCTAAATTGTAGAAGATATGTTTTAGGGCCGCGCATTTAATTTCTAAAATGGATAAGATTTGTTATTACGGCCGCGTCTTAGAAAGCAAAGTTTCGAGAGACAGGGAGTACTCACCAGATCACTCGAACGTGCTACGTCAAATACGAATTATACGGCGGGGCGAAAGGGCGACGGTGGAGGAGCACCAAAAGTAGCCGGGAGGTCGGGGAAAGATTTTGTATATTAAGAGGAAAAACTACTATTTAGCTGATTATTATCAGTTGAATTTACTTTCTAAAATATATAATATATGTTTTAGGGCCGCGTATATAATTTCTAAAATGGATAAGATATGTTATTACGGCCGCTGAGTAGAAAACAAAGTTTCGAGAGACAAGGAGTACTCACCAGATCAGTGCAACGTGCTACGTCAAATACGAATTATACGGCGGGGCGAAAGGGCGACGGTGGAGGAGCACCGGAAGTAGCCGGGAGGTCGGGGAAAGACTGGGGCTACAACTTTGGAAGGGGGAGTATTTTAGGGGAGGATCTCGGGGAAAAAGGGCAGTTGTTCTACTGACTGACAGTTCAGTGAAACAGTCGAGGACAGAGGACTGGAAGCTTTTCGCATTAATGCAGACCAGATCTAAATTGACGCGACTTGACTTACACTCACCCCACGGACGGACATATGGGGCAATGACGGGCCGAGGGGATGAGGAGGAGGGGGAGGAGTATAGAATGATGAGGCAATAAACAATGGGGAGGAATCGAGACGGAATTTCTCGATCTCGTGGGATGGAAGTAATTCATTGGATGTTCTGATGCCGACCGCGTTAGGATGATACGAGACCGTACCATCTTCCAATATAAACGGGTCATCAAGTTCAGTCCTGCCTGAAGTTGATGCTAGAAACTAAGCAGCAACTTCAGTCCTGCCTTGGCCCCGGCTAGAAATTAAGCGAAAGAAAAAGAAGTTGTTTCTGTTCGTTGTAGGCTTTGACGTATTGTGTGCTACAACAAGATCAACTTCTTCTTCTTCTTATTCTACTGATGGCTGACTTTCCAGTCAACACAGTAGGGCCTGGGGTGGCATCACACTACGCGCAAGCCGTAGAAAGCAGGGACCGCCGAGCGGTCGCCTCCTGCGACAAACCGTTTAAGCATGCCTTGCGGGTTGGGACTTGAACATTCTGAGCTTCCAACAACATGTGGCAGCAGAAGGCGAATATGTGGCAGCAGCAGGGTTTACTTCGTCAATTTGACTTACCCGTCGAACGACATCCATGGGTAGTCAATCCGAGGAAGTGAGATCTGCGGCGTCCTACTGGCAGACTGGCGCACTGACCATGCGTGTGATGAAACCCATGTGGACGATTTGGCATCCAAGCTCAGCCGGAGCAGAGTCCTCAGAAGACGAGAAGTAGGCTGTAGTGGTTTCTTCCACGACAGAGAACGAGCATGAACATTGATTTGGTATATTCGTCGTCTTGAGATAGTCCCGGGTGTTACACCTTTTCGATTATCTCGATTGGCGATATCGACTGAAAAATTCGAGCAAGCCGCAATCAACCCTTCAAGGCCATGAATTCGAGTGTACAACTCAAAACAAACGATTTTATTGCTACTTTGACAAAGAACCTGTACATGAGAAGCACTGCAAGTGAGGTATCACATTGCTTGTACCAAAATAGTGCTTCTAAATCAGCTAGAAGATCACTGCATTTTGTTTACCTATGCTGACTAATTTTCTAATCTCCGAACTGGACTGAGCTGAATGGACTCGACCTGACTCGATTCGAACTAATCTGAGCTGAGCTGGACTACTGTCGGTAGCTCCATACCCCAGACTGTGCTTGACGTATAGACAGTAGTGACTTCCTCTGTGACAAAGATATCTGATCACAAACGTAAATCGCCTTCGTTTGATGACCAGGAGTTGAGTGTGATCCGATGGAGTATGTTGCAACTCCCGTATAGGCTTGAATGCAGCCTCCTATGCATTTGATCCCGGCATTTGATGTGTTATTGGTCCCAATCTTGGGGTAATCAGACTATTTACACTGAAGATCTCCCGTATGTTCAAGGCGAACAAAACATTGGACTGAGAGGAGCTATAATTACAGAATCTCGATCTAAAATTTGAAGGAACCTCTCACGAACCTCAGAATGTGCGTTGATTCGGTTCCGTGACAGAGATCACAAAAGCTAGGCGGGTGATAAAACATCCACGCGAGCGACAAATGTATCTGACTGTAGACAGTAGGCGAGCAGGCCACGAGCCGTCACACAGAGAGAGACTGGAGGCGTGTGCGCGGTTAGGCGGGGGTCACCCGCTTGTAGTACGCATGCAGCTGGTCCTCCAAATTCAATGTAATCGGAGACAAATGCAATATGAGTTGATAATCCCTCGGTTGATTTCGCATGGGCTCGCCGTCGTCGGGGCTGCTACTCGCCTCCGCTGAAGCCGACGCCTGGGCTTCATGATTCTCAACAGAAAATTTAGCCGATGCAGGGCTTGGCGCCATCTCCATCTCCTCGTCGTATGTCACCGTGGGGGGTTTGTTGAGATCGATTTCTATCGGTCTCAACAAACCGGTCGACCTTGACTCCGCAGGCGCTGCTGCTTGTTGCTGCTGCTGCTGTTGGAGTCCGGGGTCGCTCTTGGCACGAGGAGAATGGCCGCGCGCGTCGGATGACTCGTGTCTCCCGCGGCTCTGCGAGTAGCTCGCTCTGCCTGCAGGGTTGCTCGATCTAGGATTCTTACCCCCGTTGTTACTGCTGGAACCTTCCTTCTCAGCATCCTTCTTGGTCGGGTCGAAATGGCATCGCTTGTGGCCCCCTAGGGCTTGGCCTGAATCAAAGCAGCGCCCACACTCAGTGCACTTATGAGCACCTTTCTTGATGCTACCAGTCGGCGGTACTACGTCAGTACTACTCTCGTCCTTTGAATTGGACGTCATTTGGCGGTCCTTATCATCTCCCTCACTGTGAGAGAGATCCTGCAGCTCAGTCGGGAGCTGCTCTTCCGACCTCAACATATCCTCGCTCAGCTCCTCGTCAAGGGACTCCGGCTGGGGACCATCGCCCACATTCGTGCGGGCGAAGCACCCCTTGACCTTCTTGTGAGAGGCTCGGTGGCCTCCCAGAGCTTGATGAGATCGGAAGAACCGCAAACAAGTGGCACACTGATACTTACCATGTTTGGAAGAGCTAGCTTCCTGCTGACCAGCCTCCAGCTGAACAGCCTCCTCCCCTTGCAGCACACCATCCTCCGAAAGGCTGGCCTCAGGCTCCTCATCCACTTCCATGGGCACCTCTGCTGTCTCGGCAGCAGCTGTCATGAACTCATCCTTGGGAACCAGCTCGGGTCCCTGCTCCAAATCCTCGACGACCTCGGCGGCAGTTGCTGCTGCTGCTCCCTGTTTCTCATCTCCGTCCTCTCCTTCCTCTTCTTTGTCCTCCTCCTCGTCCTCCTCGTCCTCCTCTTCATCTTTGGCACGGAGGGCTGCTTCTAAGCAGCCCTCCGTGGGCTCGTCCTTGGGGCATTCGTCAGCGGAATTGGGATTACGGAACAGGTCTTCCATATGCTCGTCCGGGTCTTCATGTTTGGGCGCTCCGCTGGGATTGGACGCCAACATCATCATGACCATGGCAGTCTCGTTCAGCTCCTCCAGGGCATTGTCGGGAGCTGCAGCACTGCTGGTCGAGGCGCCATGATGCACAGCCTGCAAAGAGCGCACGGTCTGGCGCGAGCGCTTGGATCGCTTGCCAGTGACACCCGACGCCCACCAGCCGGGAGTGGAAGATTGCTGGCGGTCGCCATTCGTGTGCGCCTCCTGGCCCTGGATGTAGGCGGCCTCGATGCTGTCCGTGTCGCTCTCGTGCTCAGTGGAGGCCGACTTGCCACTCTGTTTCTGTTCTGGCTCCGACTCTGAATCGGACACCACCCGAGCAGGGACGTGCGAATTGGGGCGCGACTTCTTCCGGCGGTGCTGCCGCTCGCCCGCTGCGCTCGTGCTAGCTCCATTCTCGTCCGGAGGGTGAATTCCTCGCCAGGTGCGGTCCGGGTGGCACCGCATGTGTCCGAACAAGGCCTTGGACGAGTGGAACTTTTTGGTGCAACCCGGATAAGGGCATCCGGAATCCGATTGCTGTTTCTCTTGGGGAGCTGGGGGCTTCTTGGTAGGAATGGTGGGGGGAGCCACCTCGGTGTAGTCCTGATCTATGAAACGCCGGCTTTTTCTCGGACATTCCCGGAGGTTGTACTCGGGCTTGTGAGATTTCTTGTGGGTATTGAGTTGCTTCTCATTCTCAAATTCCTCTCTGCATACGTCACAAATGTTCCCGGCAGCATCGTCCGTCGCCGCGCCATCATCGTGAGCTCCATCGGAGTTGTTATCCGAGCAGCTGGTGCTGCTGCGTTCGGCCTGCCTGCGCGATGCCGCATTATCGTCTTCGTCGTGCGGCTGCTGCTTGGTCAGAGCAGCTGCATCCTCGACCGAGCTCTTGGGCGTGGTGCTGCCCCGCCGCTTGCCATTGGTCTTTGACCTGCGTGCTCCCACAGCTCTGCGGACTTGAATTTCGCGAGTCCGGGCTCGAGCTCTGGACTCGGGCGACAAACTCTGCGCCCTGGCGACCCCGTCCGCCCCTGGATGCTCGATGCCGTTCTCAGCAACACCATTGCACGCATGCAGCGAGGCCTGCTGGGTGCGCGGGGACGAGGAAATCAGCTGCTTCTCGGATTTCCTATCGGCGTTCGATGAAGTGCCGGGGTCCCCGTTGCCGTGAGCACGCATGTGGCCTCCCAAAGCTCGCCCGGATGAGAACGGGCGCTTGCACACTTTGCAAGTGTGGCGCGAATTTCCCTGGGAGGCGTCGTGACGACCACAATCTGGACTCGAATCAAGATTGTCAAGCCCACATCTTGGAATCTCTCTACCGGAATGAAGTCCTTCATCATGACCTTCAACACAATCTACGTCCAAAGCTGCTTCTTCAGCTGAAGAAGAAGAAGCAGCAGCAGCAACAGCAGCAGCCTCAGCAGTACCCATGGCTGGAGAAGTGGCACCAGTTGTATGGCGGCGATGGAATGGCTGCCCGGGCTGCTGCTGCTGAACTATCCGGCTGATGCCACGATGCTCACTCGAACTCGAGGTAACTGCTTGCAAATTCTCCGAGACTGCTTGCGAGTAGTTACGATCTGGAGATGGCCGGTGCTGCGACGACGGCCCTGGCTTCTTGCCCTCGTCACTAACACGCTGCCGAGCCGTGGGAGCGGTTAAGCCTGCTGCAGTATCACTCACTGCCATTTCTGAGTAATTGGCATCCGCATCTATGACACAAGAAGACCCCGTCACCAGCTCTCGCTCGAACGACGACGAGGACGCTGTGGTTTCGCTCGGAGCCTCCTGCTCGTGGCAGCCCACCATATCCTTATTCCACCAGCACCCAGCACCCCGGCGGCGTCTGCAACTTCAGCTCGCGGCCCGCGCGCTAGCTTCAATTTGCCAATTCTCGCCGCGCGGCTCGACAAGCAAACCTGAGCCTCACAGCGGGCGAGCGACAGATCGTAACTGTAGAGCACAGCGCAAATATACGCCTGAGCTAAGCTAGTGAGTGCCGAATAACTACCACACTAGTCTATCGTAATCAGCTTGCCGCCCTGCCTGTCTGTTTCTCAACTGCCTTACGCTCCGAGGCCAAGCGAGAGTACTCCGCACTGCGCCTCCCGGTCTCCCTCCCTCGCTCGCTGCTGCGCGGAACACAGATCCTGCGCAGATTAATTGCCCGCCGCCTAATCAACTCACTGCCCCTAGAGCACGTCCCGCGAATGCCTCCGGTAGTCGCCTCCGCTTCGGCTGGTGCTGGTTGCCCAGCCGATGCGCTGCTCCTGCTGCTTGCCTTGCCGAGACGAGCCGAGCGAGGGCCGCGATACACAGCGCCCCGGGGGCGCGCGGGCACTCTCTGCGACTGAGCTGATGAAAGAAAGGGCGGATCGCTTTCTTGATTCGCAGCCCCGATCTGGATGCTCATGCCAGACGACCGACGTCGTCAAGCTGCACTCGAGGCCGCGCGGTGCCTGCTGCTGCTCCAATTCAGTCGCCACTGCCCAGCTGCAAAAGGCGCCGCAATTGTCTCTCGGCAGCGTATCGAATTCTCCACCAGCTCGTTCCAATCGCTCTCCGCCGCACGCAATCAGCAACAACAGCTTATTCCTACTACTCACTACTGCGACTGGGGCTCGAGGCCGTGCTCCTCCTCGTCCCCTTAAGCTTCCCGGCTCCTCCTCGTCGTCGTCCTCCTCCTCCTCCTCCTAACCTCACTGCACTGCGCTTGGACTCTCTACCTCACCACACCACACCACACCACACCACACCGCCACTCACTCTACTTAACTGACTGCACCTCACCTCACCTCGTCTCGAGCGGCTCGCCTCTTGTGGTCTCGTGGCACATACTCCTCATCGTTCCAAGCAGGCCGCAAGAGAGCAGGAGCGGGCGGGCGTTTCTCGTCTGTGCATCGACTTCTTCTGCTTCGCTTCTTCTACTACTAGAAATTAAGAGCAGCAGCACAGTCGCGGCGGCCCTTGGAGCCCAGCACAGCACAGCACAGGGAGTCGAGAAACCGAAATAGAAGCCCGACCGAGGCTCGAAAACGAAGGGGATGCGGGGGGCGACGGAATTGGACCACCTCAACTCATTGCAGAGAGTAGCGGACAGACAAACAGACCTGATGGAGAAAACAGCGTCGAGTTTAGTAGTAGGCAGTGCAGCAGCAGCAGCGAGCAATCAAGCGCGCACGCCCGGCAGCCAGCGGAGAGAGCTGCGCCAGTGGGGGCAGCCCTCCCAACACCGAGCTCTGGCCCGCAACACGACAAGCGGAATTTAGAAATTAGAAAATTGCCGATCGGCAATGGCGAGCAATCGGAGAGCCACCCGAGGTAGGCAATGGGCATCGCTTCCAACGTTGCTTGGATGCTGCTCCGCTTGATGAGTGCCTCGTTCTGGAAAGGCGCACGGAGGCAAGGCAGGCGAGCAAGTCCGTCCTTCTAAGGACACCAGTTGCCCTTAACTACAAAACTCACGCCATTACACTTTCGGTTCCGAATCTCCACGCCCGAGCCGTTCCTTTCGGGCAGAGGACCCGCTGCCCGGATCCTACCCGCTGCTGCGTCTCCTTGCGATCTCCCCTCTAGCCCTTCGACTCGGCCACGCTGCCGCGGTCTCCGATCGCATCCTACGGTCCTCGCCGCCCCAATCCGAACCCGCTGGCTTTATCCCATGCTCCTGCATGGGTTCATGAGCCAGCTCCCACCGCGAGAGTCGAACCGGCGGTAGAATGCCTAAGCGTGCGAGTCGTGGACTATGAATCGGCGGAAACCCCGCGGATTTCTCACCGGTCCCCCTAAACTATCAGACCCGGTTACCCTCCATTCTTCAGTTGCGTTCCGCTCGGTCACCCCTAGTCCCCTAGTCCCCTAGTGTTTCATTCATGCTTTATTTACTACAGTAATGCCGTATTATTAAAAGATTTCCCGACCGTGTCACCGAAGACGGAACACATCGTACATTTCATCACGGCTCCCTCTAGACTCTAGGAGCCGCTGCTCTTCAGCCTCATTACTCTTTATTAAACATGCACCCTTGGACTAAATCTCAATACACTAATAACAGCGTGGTTATTTGTCGTCTAAGAGGAAACATATTGTATTGCGAATTTACATCATTATATTAAAAAAAGGGCTAGTCGTTAGTATTACCCAAAGACTTAAGACTTAAACAACGATGGGTAATAAAAGGCAAGGAGCTCTTTCTCACCTGAAGCATCTACGTCGAGGAGAGTTGGTGGCATCACAGTGGTAGTTTAGCCAGCATTAGTTGCGTGGCTCCGGCTCCAGGCGAGGGCTCGCGAGGGAGCGAGAAAGAGAGAGAGAGAGAGAGATAGTTGGGGATGGCATGGACTTGTAAGACTTGTTAGCGGGTCGGGGCCTAGAGCTAGAGCAAGAGGATCTTTTGCGCATCAGCTTTACTTGTACTTTGTAACTGTGGTGGTCGTGGCGTGGGGCTGGGGCAGGGGTGGAAGTGGGGGTGGTCTGGCTGGCTGGCTGGCTGGATGTCCAGGGGCTGGGGCAGGGCCGGGAGGGAGGCAGGCAGGCAGGGATCGATGCTGATTGCCTGCGTGCGAGAACAAAAATAAGCCAGTGGGAGTAAAGTCAAGGAGCGGAGAGTGATAGTGGTCATTGAGTTGTTTAATACCAGGTACATGACAGCCAGTCCCTGTTGAGGAGACGAGGAGTTTTAAGTCGGAACAGTATGTTGAGCGTGAATCGAATTATGTGCGACATATGACTTGTGCAAGAGAAGCTGATGTCAGAGGACGAGGGGGGAGGCAACGGGGGGATGGATCGGTCTGCGTGCCGCTTGGCCTGCTTGCCTCGGTTGGGCTCGCCAGCCTCGGAGTGTCCGCTGGGCTGCCGCTGCTGCCTTGGGTGGGAGGCTGCTGTCCCGCTGGCCTGTGGCAGAAAGAGCTCGAGTTCAGCTCGCCGCTGCGTCTGCTTCGGACAATGGATGAATCATTGGCAGCCGACGAAAGGAGCAAGGAAGGTTTTGTGCATGAGGGTTGTGTGTCAGTGAAGCTCCGAAAGTTCCGAAGAATTTTATGTTCCTCTCCGCTCCCTCCCGTCCTCTGATTGCAGTTGAATAGGCATTGGACGTGCGTTACTTTGATGTTGAACAAGTGGATTTCCGTTCAGCATTTGACTCCACCGTATTCCAGCTCTGTTTTCCATGCAAATTAGTTCGACTCTGGTCGCATCATTCCTCTTCGGAGGCATAGCATTTGAATCATCCTCCCGAGAATTTATGCCGGTGACAAAGTTTGGACCAGGATATGCTAGTCGAAACGGAGTTACTCGGGCACAGATCTCTTCGACAGAAATGGCTCATTGGTGAAGCCTTCTCCTTGGATTTCTTCTGGATCCATGTCAAGAAGCTTCAGCCCATGGCCTTTCTGAAACCTTATGACATGCACAGAGTCCTCGTCAGTTTATAATCTTCAGTCATTACCTTTAGCCTGTCCTCAACGTGAGGAAGGTTTTACAGGTTTTCGAGTTGCAACTCGTCATCCATGTCAAATCCATCCATTGCAAGCCAAGCCTCTCCTATAGAGGGAATCATGATAGGTGAATCGTTAAGAAAATTGATACCTGCATTTATAAACTTGAGTTCTTCCATTTAACGTTAAAGTCCAAACTGCTTAGAAGTAAAGATTTTGATGGGATTTCCAGGTTGAATCTCTTGACTATGATTTGAGGTGTGCATGAATGAATTAGACTCTCTTGTCTTAGGTGCGGGTGGTTTAGAACCTCCCCAAAGAATGGACTAATACTTTGCCACGCATTTTGTTTTATTTTATTTTATACAATTAGATTTGACTTTGTTCCCGTATAGGACACGCTTGGCTTGCAAAGGATGGGTTTGATATATACATGACGAGTTGCAAGGTGAAAACCTGTAAAACCTTCCTCACATTGAGGTAAAGCCAAAGGTAATGACTGAATATTATAAACCAACAAGGACTCTGTGCATGTCATAAGGTTTTAGAAAGGTCATTGGCTGAAGCTTCTAGACATGGATCTAAAATGAAATCAAACTTTTTAATTTCATCAAAAATTGATATAAGTGCGCATATTCTTAGACTTGTTCTTCATATGCAAATAATTTTCACATAATTTCATCGATATCACTGAAATTGGATATTGAAAGATGACAAAGAGTAGGACAAATCCAATATTAGGTAATTTTAAATTCCAATTTTGAATGTTAGAAAATGTAGGAAAATCGAACTTCTTTCTTATTTTATTCTTCTTATCATTTTTTTGATATTCTACCTACTTCATGTGATACAAATTAAAATAAAAAAATACAATATATAACTATATGATTCCAGTTCTAGCATACGGATTATTCTTCAAGTATTGTGTTTATGTTTGAATAGTATCTCTGTGAACCTAGTATTTCTGGTAAAAAAATTCTTTCTCTAAAAGAATAATGTGTAAAACTCAGTTTGTATTCTATCAAAGTATTTCCGTCTTAAAGTTCTGGATATTTCAGTATTTTAAGTAGATTGACTATCTTTCTTGAAATGAGGTTCACACTTATCCTGAACAGTCAATGTGATAGTTATTTATTGCGAATTTAACATTTAGCCTTTGTAATCTTCAAAATAATTCTATTATTTTTTTCCTTTTCAATTGATATCTAGATTAAATTTTCTTGCTATTTATTTATAAGGTTTATTGTCACTTTTTAGTTAAATTCATTGAATTCACTTTTGAAACTTCATCTGTGAACCTCCATATGAACAAGGAAATTACTATGTAACCTTAATTCATTAAATCATCCAAATCTCTAAGGTGACATCCATTTGTCATGCTGTGTAAAAAAGGTCAGTGCTGACAATGTTCAATTCCTTCAAAAGTGAGAGTAAAATTCTTCCATGTACATTGATACTTCTTTTTTCCTTCCATCATACTTTACAAAGATTTTGGATTTCTATGACTGAATATCAGTATATATCACACATGCCTTATATACATTTCAATTTTGAGTCATACTTTACTATCAAAATGATCCACATTCTTTCATCAGAGAGAAAGATATAACACTGTCAACTAAACTATTGCATAACTATTGCTTATAGTTATAACTGCAGCAAAACTTTCTATGAAAACTTTCTCTACCCTTTCAAAAGAGGCCGTGAGAGTAAAGTAGTCTTAGGGTGAAGCACTCTCCCTGCAACTAGGTCATGGCGATGGACGAGGACATACAGGTCGAGCCTTCATTCGGTAAGGAGTACAACAACAACAGGAAAGAAAAGAAACAGGACCGTCTTTAGACAAGCGCACATCACAAGTCATCCGATCCTACAACCGAGACAAGCAAGAAGTCATGAATAATAGGTAGATTTGTTTTCTGCGAAGCCTGAACTTTTTGGTGAAAAGTTTTTGACACTTCGAAGACGACTACTGCAATTAACCACGATGTCCTAGGGCATCGCCACGTAGGCTCCATGTAGGATCGGAGGTTCCACAGCGCTGGATGCCTCTCCGCTGTGTCATCTTCCCCCCTGCTGCCACTCTTCCCGGTCTCCCGTCCGGTCCGAGCCTTGACACCTCACGGATACTCGACCAGAGAAGTTACGGTTATTAAATCTCGCCGACTCCTAACTTGAGATGGCGCACCTGAATATGTTTGCATGGGTCGCGTCTTGAAGATGTCCATCATTACTTTACCATCCCAAAGATCGTCCTATTCTGGGATAATAATAATTACAAGGGACGGTCCATCACAAAAGCTCTCGAAACCATCCCATGTGTAAAAATATTATTCGATCCAAGTATCTATTATGGTAATTCTTGGAAGGGAACGATCCCTAGCAGGCGATCCGGACGGAGCGCAAATCGCATCGGTGTTAGAATATTTCTTTTATTTGATCAGAGTATCTTTATAGCCATGGATGGTCACTTCGGAGGGTGGAGGACCGTCCCGCAAAAGGGCTCACAACTTATAGCGACTCGTGTCAAGAACAAAACAGTGTGCCATGTGATTCAATCCAAGTAATTCTTGTAAGGGATGATCCTTAGCATCGGATTATTTTTGTAGCTATGTACGTTAATTTCGGTAAGGGAGGGTGGAGGACGGTCCCGCAAAAGGGCTCACAACATAGCGCGACTCGTGTAAAGAACAAAGGGTGTGCGATGTTATCAGATCTGAGAACATTATGTCCATAACTATACTCACAGGGGACCCGGTGCAGGGACTGTCCCAAACAGGGGCTTTCACCGGCGAGCAACTGGCACAGATGCCAGACGGTGTGCCATATTATTAGATCCGAGGACTTCATATCCGATGATGGGTATTCGCGCTAGCGCTCATGCAAACCCCTGTTCGCGCTGACGTGGCGATGGGTTCGGACCAGTTAAAAGCCCAGGACTAGATTCCATGCTCGCTTGGACTTTTGCAGCGGTACCGCGAACGAACGAACGAGAGTTGTTTTATGCCCAATAATGTGTTGTGTGGCGCAAGCGCCCTGACATAGGCTTTCCATCCTTGTGGGGGATTTGGACAATAATTCCCACGGATCTTTCCGCAGCTGCCTTACACATGTCTGCCATCGTCCGCCTACCTTTGACCCAGTCATCTCGAGCGAGGTCAATCGGGAACGTTAACTGGAAACTGGGAACTGGGAACGGAGGAGAGGCTGGTAATAAGCCAAAGTTGTGTGCCGTGCCCCTCGGTCGGGTGCGCCACGGTGGCGTCTAGCGCAGCCGCGGGGTCAGAGTGGAGTCCAAGCACGTTGATATTCACTCCACTCCATGCGACAAGGTTCGGGTCGACAATAAAATACTGCGCTATCATATCGACAGTTGAGTTCCCTGAGGCAGGCACGCAGGCAGGCGGCAGTGGCGCGCGCGATAAGTAGTTATGTGTAGTTTCTCGTTGGACATCCCTAAAAAGTGGAGATTGATGCCACACTCCTCCGCCGTCAGAAGGCAGCAGGTCACACTTTTCGCTGCTCGAGAGCTCTGGCGATAAAAGGCAGGTTCGGCAGTCGACCGCTGTTTCTTGTCGCCATTCGGTTTCAAGACAACACTGTTTTCTGTCTGACCTCAGCACGTGAATAGATTGCGCAGCTTAAAGGACGTCATTAGGTCAACTACGAGATTACCCCGGAGGGAGGCACTGACTTACATCACCCACATGATCGACATTCCCTAGCCAGGCACGGCCGGGGTCACGTCCCGTTGCCCTACCTCGGCATACATGCTCTCCTCTCCGATTACCCCACGGCAAAACGATCCCTTTTCACTTAGCTGCATTCAAAAACGAATATACATTACATTACACTAAGATGCGGCACCGGGTGATGCCTGCGATCTGACTCTTGACCGTATCCCTTCGCAAGGATAAATTGTGTGCACTTGACCGCCTCGTCAAGAGGACAAGGCAGGCGGGGGAATATTATAATCTCGATTTCATGCGCGCCTGGGATTTTTTATGCAAGATTTTGCCTGCAGGACCTGCACGGTGTACTTTATACAAAAATCGATCCTAGCGTTGACCCTACGTTAGGGCAAGCACTGCACTGGTACATCACGCTCCGTTCCTGTACCACTAGAAACCCGCTGTAATATTTTTCCTCTCTCTTTTTTTCTTTTACTGCTGAGCATGGCGCAAGGGAAGCAACTTTCCTATGACTGCTCTCTCTCTCTCTCTCTAGCTATGGCCCCACTTTGTACCCACGCTGATCAATTACATGTCACGGCAAGCAAACGGTAGCCCCGACCCCGTTAGCCCTTACGCTCGTCGGCCACCAGGTCGCCTACAAATCGCGCTATGGCAAGGGAGGAGGTGAGCCCCGGGGACTCGATCCCGAAGAGCTGGATGAGTCCTGGGATCCCATGCGAGCTTCGGCCCTGCACAATCCACAGTCGGTGGGTCAAAATCAGCAGACATCTTTGCCAGTGGAGACAGCCACTTCCGACCCCTGGATTCGAGGCTCATCATGGGGGCCTGTGACCCCCACGCCCTAAAGTCATGGCAAATGTTACAGCGCACCACCTTCCTAAACCTGACCCTTATCTTCCATGGATTTATCGTCGGGATTCAACAGAGCATTCACCACAGGGACAATACCCAGACGTTCGAGCTTCTCCGAGGGATAGAGATACGCACACTCCTCCGTTGAGCTCCCTGGTGGGAGCTCGACATGTGCGTCCATGCACATGTCAAGCTCACTCGACACTTAAGTAGGACTCCGTCTGCTTCTCGTGACGAGCGAATCGCTTTTATCAGCCGTAGCTTTGAGGAGTTTTTCCAGGAAAAACTCCTCAAAGCTACGGCTGAGATGGTTTCGGTAGGAATCAAATCGTCCGTTTATTGTTTCATGAGCAAATGGCCAGATTTCAGCGAATAGAAATGGAGAGTAGAGAGCAAAAAGAAGCGAAATCATAGCATACTGTAATCCACCGTCCTGAGAAAATAACTATATGCAACCGGGATGACGACGACCAAAGCAAATGAAGCATAAGAGAAAGTCAAATTTCAACCCGGTATGAGAGACGGACAGAATTGATACAGAGGAGAATATTTCTTTGAACCTGAATGACAAAGTCTGTTGGTGGCTGTCCCTTTCCCGAAAGCTTGGGACGAATTCCAGAGTATCCCGGTTGTAGAGATTCATCAGGAAGAGCTGGAAAGTACTTTCGAACCTCCGAGTAAAATCGGTCGCCTCTTCTTGGATCAACTTGATAATCGAACCTGCAGAGTGACCCAACCCGACCATAGATGCAGAGCAGAAAAATCACGTACATATTCACATACATACGAAACTTGCATTTCTAACAATAGTTTCAAGTTGCCCTTATCAAATACAACGAAACGGTTTCATCGCTGTTGATCAGGACGCACACAGATGAAAAATAGTACCCTTACTCTGGAATCACCGTGACAAAGAAGTGCAGAATACACAAGCTAAGGGAATATACCGTCATTTATCGGAGGAATGAACTTTTGATAGATTACACAGAGGTCACGGAGCAAAAAACTGACAAGCCAACAAAAATGTTGGCTCGCAGTTCTCATCAAAAGTGCAAAGGGGCAGACCAATGAGAACCAGTCATGTTTACACGAATCCAATGGCAAACTCCTGTTTCGAATCCTTCAACTCTACTTCGAATTAAATGGAGATGGCAGCGATGCATGAAGCCAGTCAAGAACTATGACAAGAAAATCAATGTCTGATCCATCGAAGGGAACCAAATCGAAGACACAAACTCCCTATCACGCAAACACTGGGAAAAATCTTAGCTCTGGACACCCGGAGAATATGCGTCATTTTTTAACCTACCAAATCTAAGCTCAGCCCAGTTTTTGGGGGTGGGTTGCTAAAGCCGCATCCCACCGCCAAAAACTTCACTATATGCTGGAAATCCTATGACAATCAACAGCGATACCCCCTCTTTGAGCAATTCTGGGCCAAAAATTCTCAGGGACTTTTCCCTGATACTCCGCTTTACCGAATTCAATGAGTCCTTATATGGTGAAGGGTGGCGCTTATTGCATTGATCGAATAATAGAACTGGATAACACCCAAAAGTTGGTGAAACCTGATGCTATCTTGTGATCAAGCTCCTCTTCATCCTCGACTCGGAAAGGAGTGAACAAGAAGACAAGAATTCGTGACAGGTTAAGATGTAATCCATGGCACACAAATCACTAGGAGAAACTCAGTGCCGGGCGCTTCGGACAAATATCTAAGAAGCTTACATCCAGACGAAGGAAGGGGGCAACACCTGTACTCAAAGCAGCCTGCATTCGAACTTTCACCGACGATATCGAGCTCCAGTAGTACGGAAGGGCTGGTAACCAGACATGGAGAGTTTGCGTGTAATGCATCGCGCATAAAAAGGATCCGTATCTTAGCTTTCCATTCAGGGTAAAATCACAAAGCTTGTCGGCATATTGGAACAGAACCGGCGAAAAAATAATGGGCCGTGAGATCTTCGACTGTCACACCAATTGCGCAGCATGTCATATGCTGACAATCATATGTGTAGGGAAGAAAAAACTTTCTGCACCTAGGGTTCGAAAGCTCACTTCCTCAAAGAAGCGGCGATGAAAGAGGCCAGAGACGGTAGGGCAACGAGCTTACCGTGCTGGGTGATATAATTCGTTGTCGTCGAGATGTGGAAGCCAATCGACGTCGGGACCGAACCTTGTTTGCCCACCCAAGTCCATGGTAACATGCACTCCAATACCTCCTTCTTCCGGGACGGGATATATTAAGTGGCTGAAAGGAGGCTTGCTGTAACCTGAAAGATGAAAATAACAACCTTTGGCATAATAACCCTGAGGAATGGTGTTCGATGGCACCCCTTGCATCTGTCTCGCCACAGACTGGGCATACAAACCGGCGGCATTGACAACCACCTTTGCAGATAGTAGCAATTGCTCGTTGTCTTGCGAGCTGGGCAAAGAAGATTCTCTCACTACAAGTTCAATCTCGTCAGAGACCACCGAACCTCTGCACACTGTTGTGTTAAAGGCTAAGGTCATTCCCTTCTCTTCGCCGTCTGTCTGTATGGAAGAAAAAATTTAGACAAGACGGCCAAACTTCAAACTCCAGGTCTCAACAAAACTTCAGCTTTGCTCCAAGATTTTGGGTGGACACGCGGTCTAATCTACTTGACATACGACATGAAGCATCATCATCACTATGTTTTACCTGTAGGGCGGTCATGAAAGCATGACTATCCACAATTCCTGTGGAGGGTGAGAAAAGCGCTTGTGTGCATCGAAGGGAAGGCTCCATTCTCATTGCTTCTTCCCCGCTCATCATTCGCAGATCAACTACACCATTCTCGGTTCCATGCACAAGAATCCTTTCAAGAACTGCAGACTGACCTGCTCCAGTCGCCACAATCAGCTTACCCACATTTTTATGAGGAATGTCCCTTTCTTTGCAGTAGGTGTACAAAGCATGCTTGCCGGCTACACAAAGCGTGGCCTATCACAAACACACCCAGGTTTTCATAACACAAAACAAAGCTCAGTTCTTGAAGGACCGAAGACGAGCCCAATCACGAAAAGAAACTCACTTCCACAATATTATTCCTTAATTATCTGCACAAACCTAGAGGAATGGGACCAACGGTGGCACTTACCTTGAGAGAGCCGCGGGGGTAATATATGCCAGCATGGATCACCTCGCTGTTGCGGGAACTTGTGCCCGTTCCTATGGCGTCAGCTGCTTCGAGAACGATCACTTCTCTGCCCTGCCTGGCGAGCTCTCTGGCGATGGCGAGACCCACAACTCCAGCCCCAATTACAACACAGTCCACCTTCTCCCTGGGAAGCGGGCGACCCGAGGCCGAGAAAGAATCGCTCGATCCACTCGTTCCGTAACATCTTCGGAATGGAGCAAAGCCGCAACCGTGATGATACAACGCATTCTTGTCACTGCTTCCGAGATAGCGATAACAGTTAGAAACAACCCTCGCATCGCCAGCAGGGTGAGCAGCCGGATGAGCTCCACTGCCAAGGAAGGGACGAGAAGCGGGCAACTGGCTCAGAAGAGGAGCTGGGCCTAATGCCCTTCGGCCGTAAGCTGCTGCTCGGGGCCCAATCACTTCGGTGCCCCCCTGCTCGACGAGCTCTGGCGCGATTGTGAGTCTTGCAACTCCAGCTCCAGCTGCCTCCGAGTGCACTCTCTGCGGCCGCAGCAGCTCTCGCCGGGGGACAGTCGCACAATCGACGGATCCAGTGGCTCCAGAACAACTCCGAAGTGAACACAAGCCACGAGCATGACGACAAAACACATTCCCGGCCCCGGCCCCTGCTGCTCCGAGACTCCGAGCTACCACCCCACAGCTGGAAACAATCATCCCGACGAGAAGAAGCTCCGGATGAGCTCCTCCACGGCCAGCGAGAGAACGAACAGCACCCAATTGGCTCACAAGAGAAGCTGCAGCTAAAGGCCCAGAAGCCTCACGCGATGATGCCCTCCTGAAGATCGACGCCCCGGTCGCGCGCGAGCGCGGTCTCCCGAGGCCCATGACGAGACGCTGCCAGGCACGAGGCACGGCAGCAGCAGCAGCAGCAGCAATGTTCACGCACTCGAGGTCGCTCCGCAGGACTCCCGCTCCTCCCAGCCACCGACACCCCGAGCACACTCTCCCCGTCGCGCATCACGGCTCCAATTCGTCTCGCTCGACGACGACGACGACGACGCCCCAGCAACAAGAAGCAGCAGCACCAGGCAGTGAGTGAGCTGAGCTCACCTCACTCTCGGCCAACGCGAGCCGAGCCGAGCCGAGACTGTCTGCTGTGTCCTGCACGTGCATTCCGGAGCTGGCGAGTCGCTCACGAACTAAACGACTGTACTGTGCTACTGAACCCGGAAGAAGGCACGGCAGGGACGGGGGCCGCCAGCCCAGCCGAGCGAGCGAGCAAGCAAGCAAGCCGAGGAGTGTAGAGTGTAGAGTGGAGTGGAGTGGAGGAGGCGAGGGAGGGAGGGAGGGAGGGAGGGAGCCAGCGGGAATCTAGAATGAATCTGGCCTTCGTCCTTGTTGGGTGAGCGAGCTGCTGACCGATTGACTGACTGACAGACTCGCTTTTAGAGTTTATTCTTCTGAGTGTAAATCTCCGTCCTGCTGCTTCGCTCGCCTCGCCCCGCCCCGCCCCGCCCCGCCTCGTCTGACTCCGACTGTCAGACTTCTCGTCCCACCGCGATCCTGCCGTTCATGATTCTCTGACTGCTCCTTTTTGCATGGTTGGGTCGGTATGTAAACGAAGTACATTAATTATTATGAAGCATTACGGATGCTGATCCCTTTTTATCTTTAATTTTACGTCTGACACATCCGTGCGAATTACTGCGTCCCTCCCTCCCTCCCTCCCTCCCTGTCGCGGTGGGCGTTTTTCTCCGGAATCCGATTGGCGGCCACTGTTCGCCTTGTGGTCGCCTTGAGCTCTTGGATTGGCGAGATGCCATCCTGCTGCGGAGGTGGGTGCCGACTGACTGACTGACTGAGCTCAGCAGCAGCAGCTCTGGGAAAAATGGTGTCCAACCCTTTCACCTCACGGAATCATTCTCTTTTCGTACAGTGCACTTTCGCCGTGGGTGATGGCCGCTCTCGACCGTCGGATCTCCGGTAACACGGGGTATCATTTTCTCCCCCCGGATCATGTTCAAATGAGATAGGATTAGTAGTTGCAATATATGCGTGCTTACCATTTACTGCTCACATCTGGAACGTGACAAGTGTCGTCGGACGCAGTGCTCCAGCTTTCGATCTCTATTTTCGACGCTCGCAACATGCCATGCCCTGGAGCTGGAGATGGAGATGGGTGGAAAGAGTTCAGAATCTTTCCCCACTGGCATTGTAATTATTCTTCTTATGGACGTGTCGTTAATTTCTCCTTCTCTCTGCTTTTTTCTTCTTGCATTTTCCGCTTTCGAGCGATTCTCCATTTGTGCCTTTATTTCTATATGTACTACCTGATGTGCATGTAGATCCTTGCGTTTGTTAAATTTATCATTTGAAGGTCAGATTTGAGAATATTCAACGTCGATGATTTTATCTTTTGAGGGGGGGTGTTTTTTTTAATGCCATGCATCCTTCACTTTTAAGCTCTCCATTCACATGGAGAACAATTATAAATGGGCAGTGGCATAATCGTACTTCGAAGTCGTTCGCAGTTCTGCTAACGTGACCGGTTAGACTGGTTAGACCGGTTAGTCGGCGCCCAATCAGCGTCTCGCGTTTTCCTTGGGGGCGCCCGGTAAAATCAGATAAATCGCGGTGTTCATCGAAGTGCCGTTTTACCGGCCGGTCAAAACAAGAAACAAACACAAAGAATAAGACTTTGGGAGTTAGAATACTATTCGACGTTGTATTGTTGTTGTATTCTAATCATTCGGCCACTGGCGTTCTTTCGAATGTTTTGGCTTTTGGCTTTTTCAACTAGAAAATCGCGCACATTCGTTTATTATACAACGAAGCAAGCCAGATGCGGCGGTTGGGAAAGCAAAGAGATATGAAAGTTACGTGTTACGATATGGACGTGTTTAGCTGCCACAAACTGACCACGGGCATTCCGGTCGGATTCGGGCTGAGCACCTACAGTCGCCCTACGGCAGATTATGTTCCTGCTATGCAATTTCTTGACAAGATCACAAGTTAGGCTCACTTTCAGAAACGAAGAAAAGCTTGATTGCGCAGAAGGTTGTGGTCCTGAAGTCAACAATTTGGTCCCATTATGACTTTTGTTCATTTCCTGGTACACAAATCTTTTCTACACTTTGCATCTCTCTGATATGTATTTTTACTATATCATATGTATTCTGATTTAGATGATTAAGTCTTGATTTTACTTCTAGACTATGTGTGTACGTTCGGAGTACAATAATTTAGTGATCCCAAGATAGACAGATACATCGTGTTTTATTTTGAAATTTCTACACCAAATTGCCCCCAGGGAAATTTGCGTACACATCCACCTGGTATTATACCTTTCCTAACATTGCACTTTCTTCCGAAAGACCTTGCCAACTATGATGTAATTTGGCACTTTTTATTATGAACCAGATCTGATCATTTACCTCGTTCCAGTATGGTTTTTGAAAGAACAGTTACAGTTGAAGAATATTCCCTCTAGTACAGCAATAGGAAGCACTTGGCTTTTAGTTGATGATCATGGGTGTAAGAAAACATGTCTTTCATCGGCGTGAAGCCTCAATCATCTTTCGTTGCAAGTCATTTCATTTTCAACACGGTTTTACCACGGAGTTATGATAGTTTGCGACACTTTTTTACACCTTATTTTATTCTCTTCACAATCAGAGATACAATTTAAGTTTCAGAAAAGCTTATCAGATGAGTGCTTCCATCTTTGTTGTAAAGCCATGGTCACCCAGCGTACTTCACTTCACTTCATCTCCGCTTTTTCACTTCAAAATTACATTTCTCTCCGATTTTTGGAATTGATTCTTAATTATTATTTTTAATGAAAGGTATTATGTGATGATGAAAAACAAAATATTATATGCATTAAAATAGTATCTCGTAAAATGCTTCAACATTTATGTGACGAGGTCTGCATATCCTTTTAGAAATAAATCAAAATATACTGTGTAGGTTTATCATTCGTATAAATATAGATATAAATACATATATTACGTGAAAAAAATCTTCCATGTGAATATGTTTATTTAATCCAATTTAACCAGACTTACGTGTATACAAATTAAGCATCATTTTACATCTTGAAAGTAGATCTATTAACACTTTATCTTCATAAAGTAAATTGTGATAGTAGACTTATTGAAATAATCTTTTGACATTTAATTCCAAGATTTTTATTATGTTGAATGAGAAAACCCACATTCAAAACTCAGTCATCTTGTTGTTTTTTAATTATCTATTTTAATTTCAGGTTTGGTTTTACAAAGATTTTAAAAATAAATACTTATAAATTTATTACAAATTTATTTTTATTTTTACAATAAATTTATATTTAAAATTATAATGAAGATATTTTAATTAAAAAAATTACAAAATATCCATGAAGAAAAATAAATTTTGTACACAATAAATTTGACAGATATAGAAAAAAAAAATCTAAATTTGAAATATCTTACGCCTTGCATTATTTACTCATTGGGCATTGGTAAACAATCACTCCTGTCTATGTTTCTAAGAAGTAAGATCTTGGAGAAGGATTGTGAATTTTAATTTGAAGTAAACATTTTGAATGCTGCATAATATATTGAGTTTGGTCAAAAGATGAAGAAAGTCCAAGAATCATGTTTGTCATAGAAGTTTTATGTTGTGATATTTGTGCTAAGCCTTTCACATACGTACTTCTTTTCAGCTTTGATGAAGAGTATATATTGCTGTTTTGAACAATAACTGTTGTTAAATCCATACGAAAGTGCAGATATACTAATTGTTATAAATCACTTGGATGAAAAAATAACATCATATCTTTTGTTATAAAGAACATGTATTATCAATTTTGTACTTGGAATTATGATATTCGAATTTAAGATTTTCTTTTGAGTAATCTTAATTTATATTATTAAGATAAGTCTAATCTTTACAATCAAATGCAAGTTTTGTCAATGAAATAAATGTGAAAAGAAGTGGTTTACTTTTAGAGAATTTATAGATCAAATTAAATCTACAAATCTGATCTATTTATAAAGATATCTTAAAAGACCAATGTCTATTAAGATATCTACACTGAGAATAATGGAAAGTTAAGAAATCCTAGAAGATGCTAAAATGCTATTCTGTAGCAAACTTTAACCCTAGACGGCAATATACAAATTGAAGTTTAAGATAGCAAAAGCATAGACACAAAGTCGTGAAGATGTGATACACTGTACGTTGGATATTTAATTGTCCTTTGCTATGGTTGAAAATGTTGGGAAGATTGTCGTTTAGTGAGAACATGCGAGCATGTTCACTTCATACTATCTCAGTGCGAAATAGATGGATCTCGTGTAACAACATAGGTCACCATGGAAGAATCGAAATTGTGATTTGACGGGGCAAGAGCATATTCTCTCACTCCTTAGTTTCGGACTGGATTTCTAGGTCTTGACTGCTCTCGTAAAAATCAAAGCCAAAGTAAATAACGATACTAAGCGAAATGAGCTAAATAAATAAAGATAGATACTCTTTATCATTTGAGTTATGTAAATGACTTCTTTTTTCTATTTGAAGTATAGGAGCAAGGTGCATAGTACATGTAAGCTACTTTTAGTGCCATAGTCGAGTTCGGACTATTGTACTTTCTACATCACTTTCCCCGATCTTATGTCTCCATCTTCATCCGTTCTAAACCCAAGTCCAATCAAAGTTGAAAGTGTGTGCTCTATCCGGCATGAAAAACTAGTCTTGGATACCAACGGAATCCTTCCAATAGGCTAGCAAACAATAGTCTTGGCACCTAATCTTCCAAGAATCCTCCTTAGGGTTATATGTTGATTCCTCTTCAAGGGCTGTGGGTTGGATCATTTTCAGATAGGAAAGGTACAAGTTCAGACTGCTAGTAGAACAATTATCATCAGCATAAGCCTCCCTAGATTGCTCGCGGAATGACCAACGAAAATGTTGTCGATTGGGCTCGAGTGCACTCTACTGCTGTTTAGGCCCAAAATGTTCCATACAAAAAGTCTGTTGTCTTGTTTTCCATCCTTGCATTTTCTTACCTACAAAGGACTATAAAATCGTTGGAGCTCGAAAATATCTTCGGAGGGAATAAATAGCTGAACAGAAGAACATCAGAGCCATGTTCTAAGTGTGAGTTATTCGCTCCGCTCCCTGAGTTGTTTATATTTCAGAGGTTAGTTCAAGAACAAGTTATGGGGTTTGGGCCCGTCCAGTAGTTTCTTTCATGCTTTGTATTACATAAGGGACGATACCAAATGTGTTCATGCCTGTTTGCTTGAACAAATAAACTCACATAAATAAATATATAAAAATATATATGTATATTCATAAATAATAAATATATAAAAATTCGAAAAAAATTAAAGAAAGAAGGAAGGAAATAAATGAAGATCTACATAAAAGAAATTCTATAGGCAAATTCAATATCAATTTTTTTTGTCACAAATAACTTATTTAGCAAAGAAATTTTTTACCAACTTAGTATTAAAGTCTTATATGGCGCAATGGTGCTACTTCATCAATTTCTTAAAAACGGACCATTCACAGCACGCTTAGTAACATCAAAGGTTCATCTCCTAGGAATTTTCCTAACAAAATAAATCTCTGATGGGCATGTACAGTAGTCTCTCGACTAGGTACTCACCTTGATCCTGGGATGATTGTGTTTACTTAGTCGAATCACTTCCTAGTAGAAATGGAAAAGCTGTAAACACATTTCATACTGGAGTGAGTATATATATATAAAATATCCTATATTAGTTCCGGTGAACTAGTAGTCATAAGGGTTCTACTCTCTCCACACGAAGCGTTGGGAAAATCCACCAACAATAATTAATAAATTCTTGAGAGATTCTTATATTTAAATCTTAGATCTCAATCTCAATTTAGAATTGGAACAATAATTATACAAAAATTATCTAGTCAAATCTTCAAATTCATTATGATACAATTTTTAAGTAGAAAAGTTAATTCTTAATTTTTTGATTCTATTGCAATGTCAAAGAAAACAAAACAAAATTACTACATGAGTCTAAGTTGAGCAAAATCTATGTTCCCAGTATAAGCTCTATAGCTTGCGAGTACTATGTTAGTGTGAGACAAGTAGGAGCAAATCCTAAAAAAATTTGAGTTAATATCTGATAACTTAAAGAAAAGTTTTTTCAATCATATTGATTGTTTCATTGAGTTTGAGGAAATGTTTCATATATGAATTGTTAGAATAAATAGGTCCAAATTCTCTATTCCGGCATTGCCAAGCAAAGAATATTACATTAAATTTATTAATTTCGGGTAAATCAATGATAAGACAGGAGGGTTGCAAAAGGTGTTGCTTGTGGGAGAGGAAGTTGATATCAACAAATCTGATACTGGATTACTCAAAGTGTTTATTGCCCAATATGATCTGAAAAGTATACGTGGTACATACCGGCTAGTTTTTTATTACTCCTCTCACCAAAATACATCCTACGAATTCCAGATGAGGAAACACTAACCAAAAATTGGTTTCCAAACACAAGAATATTCAAAACTAGGCGTTTTGAATTAGATAAATCTTGCTCTCCATTTGTTCGGGGAAAAATTAGGGTGATCACTTAACGGGAGACCACTGTACAAGATCGAAAGAAAGACGGTTGAGAAGAGTAGATAGAAGATCAAAGGAAACATAAATATCGATTTTTGCATATATATGAAAAATTGTGAAGAAATGGGAATAATAGACGATGCATGCATTGCAGAGTGACAGCAAACAGGGCCTTCCTTCAGCTCTTCTCTCCTCTCGTGCGCTTCGTTGGGAGGACTCACTTTCTCCGTCGCTCTGACTCAACTTGAACAATTTGCTTGCATTCGCTGGAATCGAAAGCCGAGAAGCACAGACGCGCAGTTCAGATCAGATCAGTTGGCACGGCTGAGGGCCACTTCTGCTTTCTTCTGTCAGGGGAGGAGCGGCGGCTCTCGTCTTTCATCGAGGGAGGATCCACAGGAAGTCCAATCGCAGATCTGATTTGCAATTTTTTAAAGCGGGATTCATTGGGTCGGGAAGAAATTTTCATGTGACGCAGCAACGGGTTGGGTCGATCTCCGAAACAAGCCAGAGGAGTTCATGATGGGTTATTAGGGGAAACCTCAGTGCGGAAAAATGCTGGACGAGTGGGAAGAGTCCACTTTATCTGTGGTTCCAGCCTCTTCTGCTGGCAATTCCAATTTGCCGGACAGAGAAGATGGGCAGGTATTCGGTCACTAATTTTTCTGCTTTTTTAGCGAGCTCTGTCATCTGAGAGTTGACGGTGAGTTTTGGCTGCCTGTGAAGTTTGATCTCCTCCGTTTTGAATTGGAAATCGTTCTCACTCTGTGGTTGTGCAGGTCCACGATACTCCATCGTTTATACAGAGGAATGCTGACAGTCCTATCTTCTCCATCGATACCCTCGAGCGACATGCAGCCAGGAGCCATGGTCTTGTGACATCCGTGTCAGCTGGCAACAATGTAATTTTAGTCGGAACAAATCGTGGGTGGCTCGTTCGCCATGACTTCGGTGGTGGTGACACCCTCGGTGAGGATCCCATCTCCTGGATCTTCATCACTTCTGGAACAATGATATATAATTATAAATATATGTTAATGGTAGACGGCTGTGTGTATTGCATGATTGATGATAGGAAGTCGGATTGTTTGCACAATTAGAGAATGCAGGCAAAGTGTTTCTCAAGAGATGTATTAACGAGCATGCCATTGCAAACGCTTGCTGGAAGTGCAGAGTTTGATCTCAGTGCAAGCAGAGGTGTGGATTACACAGTGCACAAGGTGTTCATTGATCCTGGTGGAAGACATTCTATAGCGTCGGTATGCAGCAATGCAGGCTCTGAAAATTATTATATTCATGCCAAATGGAAGAAGCCTCGTGCACTGCCGAAATTGAAAGGCTGGGTTGTGAGTGCAGTTGCTTGGAACAGACAGCAAATTAGTGACGGTGAGGCTTACCTTGATCCGTTCAGTGAACTGTGTTGTGAATTTGTAGGTGTAAGGAGCACATTGTTAAGAGCATATACCTAGAGTCTACCACTCTCAGTGGTTCCTGAGTTGGGTGCATGTTCTGCATTTTGCAGCTTCAACTCGAGATGTCGTGCTTGGAACCACGACAGGGCAGCTTTTTGAGATGTCTGTGGAGGAGAAAGACAAGAAAGAAAAATATGTGAACAAGCTCTTTGAAATTACTGAGATGCCCGAACCATTTATTGGTGTCCAGGTATGAACGTTCCTTGTCTAAAGTGCCGGGTTACGAATTAGCTTTCTGATTTCACTTGTAACCAAGTAAACTTTTACTCTTCATCCCCTTCGAAGCCACTGCATAAGTTTATAAACAAGTAGCAGAAATGCTGGAAAACATCGCACAAGGACAAGAACCTAATTTTCAAGTCATTTTCCAGATGGAGACAGTTGGTACAGGTGCTTCAACTCGGTATTTGGTACTCGCTGCGACTGCCTCTCGATTGTATACTTTTGTAGGTACAGGTTCTCTCGAGGTAATACAGCCTCCTCCCTCATTCTCAAGTTTCTGACCCTTGGAGTCATTCATATTTCCAGAAATGAGGATTAGAATGCTTGTATCAGTAATCGTTTATGTAGATATAAGGCTTGAAAGACAGCGAAGCCTCTTTGGATGAGTGGAATGTTATTACGTGTGACGTGTTTGATTGCGGGTTGCTGTCAAGATAATTTGTTTTCTGCGTTTTTTTCTTACGTGTTGCAGGCAACCTTCCAAGCATATGAAAATCAAGTCATTCGCTTTACTGAGCTTCCAGGAGACGTGCCCAACAGGTAGGACAAAGAACAAGGACACAATTTTTTCTAGGCGAGAGTCACTGCCCCTCTCGTCCTTTGGTTGTTACAACAGGTTTCTATGGTCACACCGGAACAAAGAACAACATGGATCTCTGAGATTTCTGTGGTGCTTGACCTTACAGTGAACTGCATTTTTTTGGCAAGCAGCGCCGAATGGAACGATTTGCTTGGCTGTCAGGGCCCGGAATTTATCACGGGCACATCAATCTCACTACAGCCCAAAGGTAACCATGTTTCCGATTCGACAAGCACTTTCTAGGATATCTCATCCTGGTTTTGAGCTTCTCTACGACGTGCTGTCACTAGAATGTCAAGGCAGAAATGAAGCGACAGTTGCTTACGATACCATCTTCTTGCAAATTGTCAGCTGACACCATTGTTGCGCGACTGCGCTATCAGTAGACGTTCCTATCATTTGAGGTCAAAGGAAAGATTCGTTGATATGAATACATGAACCAGCCTTGTATTGTTCACAACGTAGTCTTGTTGAACAAACTGTGACATGATGAAATTTGGAGAAAGAATATCTGTTATGGGAGATGGTGCGATGTCTTCCGAGGAAGTACCTTTCCATTTACACCTACTTACATTTCAAAACCCTGGCCTTGAATAAGCGGAGATTTAATCGTGAAATGTATATTCAGACGGTGGTAATCCTGCGCAAAACATACCCCAAAGAGGTCGTTATTAGTGTTGATAAATATAGTAAAATATGTTGATAAAACAGATTTAGAAAGGCACGTGGTGCGAAGACCATTGGGAGTTGTTCTTTTTTTGATTTGTTTTAAGATCCAAATAGATATTTTTATTTGTGAATGTATGTTGCGAACAGGGCATTGAAATTCAGGGCAAGCCAAGAAAATGCGTGAGCTTCTGAAACCTTCCGAACATTGACATCTCCACAGTCTGTTGTTTCGGAAGCGAGGAATAAGGTCTGCCTAACACTGACATCTGAAGCTCATGAAATGATGGCAGCAATGAAGATAACCACTTAGAGCAGAAGGCTTTGCTGAAATACTCCAAAATTACTGGGGACACTTCCAAGCCTTGCTCACTTGCACTAAGCGAGTTTCACTTCTTGGTTTGTTATAACCAAAGCTTGAAGGTACAGTATCTTGTCCTGTTGAGCGACGCTTGTTTTGAGTTTTATAGTTTAACTTATACGAGCTCTGTACTTTCTGCATTTTGCTTGTGGTTGCTGAGGCTTCAGTACAAATGCGTTCATTGGGGATATTAGTAGTACTTCTTTTCAAGATTGTTTGAATCTGTCAGGTGGTGAATACTGCTAGCGAAGAAGTTGTGGAAGAGCAACGATTTGATGCAAGCCTCAGCTCCAGCCCCATGCTTGGACTTTGTTCCGATATTGCTGCCGGTGTATATTACGCTTACAGCGAAAGCTCCATATTTGAGGTAAGAAGTCAGATGCATCATCATCACAGGCATATGGGTGTGATTATGTACACCTGCTTTTTCCTACAACGTCGAGTTTGCCAAACCAGTGCTTCTGTCATCAATTTCTTTATGTTGAAGTCCATCTGATTAAAGGATGTCCCGATCCGAACTAACCATGACGCCCACTTGAAATGCGATGGGTGATTCATGAATCTGACCTACGTTCGTTGACAGATATCAGTCAACGATGAGGGTCGTGACATGTGGCTTACATACCTGAATATGAAGGAGTATGCTGCAGCCCTTGAATATTGCCGAGATCAGTTCCAAAGGGATCAAGTGTATGCGACGCAGGTATCAAATTGCTCAGCAGTATACAACCTAGGGACTTTTTTGCTGAAAGGAGATGTTTTGTATGGTCTAGCCCTCGCAGGACTATCTTCTCGGATTTGCAACAGATATTTGTTCGTGCTTTATTTTATCCATCAGGTAATATCAGAGTCTTAGTCTGGTCTATCATCACTACACCGGCGAACATCATAATTTTAAGACCGTCAGAGGATTGATGCAGGCTGAAGCTGAGTTCAAAGCCGGAAACTATGACAGAGCTGCATCTTTTTATGCAAAAGTAAGTGGCTACACGGCTGTGAATACCGTTGCGCTTTAGTGAGAAACTAGATAGGACGGGAGGTCATCTGGAGACTTGCAATTGAAATCTTTGCTGTTTCTTCATCCTCTTGCAAGTTTCCAGAAGATTCTTTGCAATTCTGGTAAATTGCCTATGTCAATCATGCACAAGCCCTCTTATTTGGGTAGATCTATTGAAAATCTCACATTTGCAGTTTAGTATGTACTAGAGTTGGCTTCAACTCAAATATGACCCGCTTATGAAATCAATGCTAAGTCGTTACCAACAAATATAAATGCCTCTTTGAAGGTCACGTTGTGTCTGAAGCATGAAATGTTTTTCTCTCACAAGGCGCTACTGCGTCCAGATCAAGTTGTTCTGTGTTTTAAAAATGACGTTTTTGAGAAATGGAGTTAGATTGCAAGCCCATGAAGTCATGATTGTGGTTTTGCAGGCAAATTCCGTTGCATCGTTTGAAGAAGTGGCTTTGAAGTTTGTCACTGCTGGTGAACAGGTAGTACTTACCCACGTTCTCTTGCAGCCTCTTTACATCTTGCTCACCTTTATGAGCTAATTGTTTATGAGAACTGTGCATTGTCGTGTTGGAATAAGATGTTAGGAATAAACACAGCAACAAATAGTATTTGTGTATAACTATGTACGCATGACCTTGCAGGATGCCTTACGTACTTACCTCCTTAGAAAACTTGACCATCTTGGTAAAGAGGACCGGGCACAAATCACCATGATTTCCACATGGGCCTCCGAACTTTATCTGGACAAGGTAGTGCATCAGTTCATTCGATATGTTGCAAATTTCCTGGTTTCCTTCAGCTAATAGGAGCTTATTTTTCGATTGGCAATGGACATTTAAACATGATAGTTCAGTTGTGACCGAGGAGGGTCTTTATGCCTTTTGACCCTTTGGGTCCCACGGGCTTGATCTATTTACCATTTACCATTCCATTCGTTTCCTGCGGATAGCAAATGGATGTTTGGACATGTGTTTCATGGTAAAATACAGCAGTAATACTGCTTGGGCGTCTCTTACTGTGTAAACTTCTTGACGGATTGTTTACCTACGTGATTTCTAATTATTTTTCTATTAATTAGCTCTCATTTCATGCTTGGCATTTGAAATTGCTCCATTTTCTATGTGTCGAATGCATTGCACGAACGTATATTTTAGTCACGTACATTGCATTGCTTTGAGTAATATTGTAACATTTTCAGAGTAAATTGTCAGCTGCTTAACCTGCAATGAGTTCCTTGGCTGGATTCAATGAAATTGTGACGATTTTCACGGCAAATCTTTTATCAGATCAATCGACTGCTCTTGGGTCAATCCAAACAAAAGGCTGAAGGAGGCGATGCCAAAGAAAGCACTTCTGCTGAGTACCAAGCTACTCTTACCGAATTCCATGCTTTCTTAAGCGATTGCAAAGATGTTCTTGACGAAGCAACGACAGTGAAATTGCTGGGCAGGTAAAAGTTTTACCACAAGCACTTCAGTAGTCATGTCTCAAATTTTCAATATTGCACTTTCAAAGTCCCAGGTGTGAGCAAATCTGGTAAAAGACATCCACCTGGTTTCTTTGGCTGATTGTGCAACTATCTGACTCAGCGAGATCTTTGTCCAGTCGCTTAGAATTCGTAAGCTTCATCTGCCTTCTCAACCACACTGGCTTTTCCAGGCACTTCTAATTGTAATACGTTTTCTCAGTTTCGACTCGTACATTTTTTTCTGTTGTTTCAAACATTTCGAATATGAATCACGTCGATTTATCACAACCTCCTCATGCTAATAAATAGATCGTCAGACTTTCGTATGCAGTCCTTGGGTTGGTGGTTGATTTGACATGTGAAGCAAAGAAATCTCTAATATGTTGATAAAAAATTCGATTCAAAGTACCTGATGACTTGCGTCGCTATAGCTCATTCGATTTCCCATGTTTCGCCTTTTGCTTTGTGATGACAAAACGCCCCATTGAATGAGAATTTATATGATTTTCAGTTATAAGTGGTGTTTGGAAGAGAGGAATCTGTTTAGGCATCGTACAAAATGAAAGTTAATTTACGCGTCACCAATACAAGTAGTGTCTTTTGTGTCACAGCTATGGACGAGTCGATGAGCTCGTGTTTTTTGCTGGCCTCAAGGAGCAGTATGAAACACTTCTCCATCATTTCGTTCAGGTGCGATGCTTGCAGTGTCCATCATTTTTATCGTTATTCTTATGTATAAACTTCTCTTCTGCTTATGTGTTCGTGCTGTTGAAGTACACGAGAGCTGATGTATGTGATGTCTGGTCGCGACAGCAAGGAGATGCCAAAAAGGCTCTGGCAGTGCTCCGTAAGCCAAACGTATCTCCGGAACTACAGGTTAGTTCAATTTATTTCATCATTTGGACAGTTGATTATCTGTAGGAGCCATATGCTTTAAGAAAATCAAGCATCTGTTTCAGAGTGACGCGCAGAAGAGCAGCCTCATCTTAATCAATTTAGGACTTCAAATGACAGGCTTGTGACTGAACCTCCTGACTGAGACCTTTGTGATGTCTTGAAGATGGTCGCAAATGTGGTAATCAAATTGTTTTTGCTGCAGTATAAATTTGGTCCTGCACTTATCATGCTGGATCCTCATGCAACAGTAGAGTCATGGATGACTGCCAGCAGTCTTAGTCCACGAAGGCTTATTCCTGCCTTGATGCGCTACTCAAGTGAGCCTCACAAGTACGTTGAAGTCTATAGATGTTAGTTTGTTCATGGAAGAACGTTTCTCATTTGTTTACACATATAAGAAATTCTGTACACTTAGCTTCCGGTAATGTATCTAAGATTTCTGCTTACAGCAAACTTTTTTTTATTACTCTTTTATATGTGAAAATGGCTACTCCTTTTATATAAGTGGACTAAATTGACGGATTTGTCTTGTGATTAACAGGGATGAAGCAAATGCTGCTATACGATATCTTGAGTTTTGTGTTCAGGGTCAACAAAATGAAGACAGTGCTATCCACAATTTGTTATTGTCGTTGTATGCCAAACAGGTGATAATCTCGCTTCCGACACATAGGTGTGTCGTCTTTATATGACATCGGTGTTACTTGCTGTATTTAGCGGGTTCGTATAGGAACTTTCAGTGAGGTCACACCATACATGAACTAGAATGTGCAATCATGGTTAACATGGGCTTGGTAGAAAGCCTTATGGGTAACATCTCAAAGTGTTGTTGGATTAGAATCCTTTATAATAGTAACCAAGTCAAAATTTAAAGTAGGGGGCTGGGACAAGAATCGAGACTTGAGGATTAGTCGACCTCCTTTCTCTCATGCGTATTAATGAGTGAAATCTTCATCTTATGCGCTCCTTTTTATATTGAGCTCGTAAATTGAAAATGAGGCGCTAGGATTCGCTTTCTGTCATTCTAACCTCTTCGTTTTATATCTTGGAGCAGGAAGATGAAAGTGCACTCTTGTTATTCCTGGAGACAAAATACGGCAAAGGAAGACCAGGGAGACCAGATATATTTTATGATCCAAAGTATGCCCTCCGATTATGTCTAGAGGAGAAGAGAATGAGGGCTTGTGTATATATCTACAGCATGATGGGCATGTATGAAGAGGCAGTTGCTCTCGCTTTGCAGGTACGAGAAATATCGGATTTTTGTTTGCAATGCATCGAGGAGTTGTTTGTGGCAATTTCGAGCTTGTTTAACCTATATCCTGTTCTTTATTTTGAACGTTGTTGTTGTTGCAGTTGATTAGGCTGACTTACATATATATCCACATCCATGGTTGATATACCTAGTCGTTAACATTCCCCCATTCTCAGGTCGTGGGCTTTGACTAGCAACACATACGTCAAAACTATCTAGATAGAGAGTTTTGACGTATTTACACTTGAATTGAGACCAATTCTAAATTCTAGAGTGCAAAATCTGACACCACTGCTCAGGAATCCAGCACTGAAAGGTGTACTCATTACACCTCTCAGCTCTGAAGAAAATAAGGAAAGGATCATTGGAAAAGTGTGTATTGTTACCTGTGTTTTTAACAATCAGACTGACTACATATATAGAGTTCATGTCTCAAACTTGAGGCTCAGGTCCTAACTCGAAAACATAATCTTAAGGTGTTTGATGGTAATTTTTAATTTACTTCAACTCTGAAGTAAATAAGAAATTTCATGGTAAGAAAAGTTAGTAAGAACTGAATTTTACATATATTACTTCTAAAGACAGAAATAAAGTTACTTCGAGATGAATTATTACATCACTTTATACATATTTTAAGTAGAGTAAAGAAAAGCATTTGTAATGCTAAATATCAATGGATGAAGGTGATCCATGTCGATCATTTGTAGATCATGTCTCGACTACAGCAGGTCATGTGCACTCTCTTGCACTTGCCACAGCTTGCCTAGACTTATACTATAGATTCTAGTTTCTAAACGATGCCCTTGAGGTCAACAATCACAATATATCAGTCCCCACTTTGAACAAAACTCCAACTTGAATTTAGCTAGATTGCTATCACCAACCCCACATCTTATTACTCTAAACAGCTCTTCTATGCTATATGCAGATTGACCCAGAATTGGCGAAGGCACAAGCGGACAAGGTTGATGAAACCGATGAGGGTCTTAGAAAGAAACTCTGGCTGATGGTTGCCAGACACGTGATTCAGCAAGAGAAGGGTGTGAAAGCTGAAAATATTAGAAAGGCTGTCGCTTTCCTGAAAGAAACAGATGGACTACTAAAGATTGAGGATATCCTCCCTTTCTTCCCGGACTTCTCACTGATTGATGATTTCAAGGTATCTATGGTGTAAATCTTTCATTTGGTTGAGAGGAGGTTCTTTCTTGCTTTGTCCTGTGACGCATCCTCCAGAATCAATGCTATAATCCATATATGACTTGGAAGGTCTATCATTTTTGTGTGTGAATTCTCCATCGTATAAAAGTTGACCTCCTCTGTGTGCCCGAGGCTCAACCTGGATAATAAACATCTATGAGTTGCTTATGTACACAGGAAGCCATTTGTACTTCTTTGGAAGACTACTCAAGACAGATAGAAGAGTTGAAAAGGCAAATGAACGATGCAACTCTTGGGGCTGACAACATCCGGCATGATATTAGTTGTCTCACTCAGCGCTACGCAATTGTCAATCAAGACGAAGACTGTGGGGTAAGTAACTGTTATTTGAAACCAATCTTGCGACTGTTTCCTGAGTGACTTCTAACGAGTTGTGTAAATACTAGTGTCTCACTAGCTTTGTTTATGATGTTTGCATCTGATGGCAGGTATGTGGAAGACTCATACTGGCATCGAAGGGCAATCATGCCTCTGGCCCACCTGGGAGGACTTTGACTACCGTCATGGCGCCATTTTACGTCTTTCCTTGTGAACATTCTTTCCATGCTCAGTGTTTAACGGAGTATGTCTTGAAGCACAGCGATAAATATGAAGTACGTGTATTCTAAGTCATGTTCGTTTTACCTCACGTTGTCATTGTCAATAGTTTCTGTGAATCATGTCATTGCTATGCTTACATCGTTTGAAGATCAATAGAAAGCGGGAAGCTTGGTTAAACTCGGAAGAATTTAACTTAAAGTTGTTCATGAACATCTTAAAACTTAGGTACAATATCTTATTCAATAATTTGAAGAAATAAATAAAAAACATACTAACTGACTTTCTTTGAGTTGGACAATAGAAAGAGCGCATCGCAGAGTTGCGCAACAGACTATACAATTTGATCAATGATGCCCCTGCAAGGCCATCAAGGAAGACAACAACAAAAAGCTACGATGACCAAGTATCAGCTGATGGGCAGATGGATCCTCTGGACCAGGTACGAATTTGCCACGTTTGGCTGATTAATGGTAATGGTAATGATAAATAGATCACGCCCGTGGGACCAGAAATGATACGTTTTTCCTTATATACCGTTATAGTTTTGGTATCTTCGAACTAAGGAGATCAAAGCCTAGTTCGAGAAGTGGCTGGCCTGCCACATCATTATATAATTCTCTCAATATTGTTTGGAATACAGGTGCGTGCCCAACTAGATGACGCAGTTGCTGGAGAGTGTCCATTTTGCGGGGAGTTGATGGTTAGAGAGATAACGCAGCCTTTCATTCTAGCGGAAGAACAAGATCTTGTTATGTCGTGGTCTATTGGTTCTGGAACTTTAGCCAAAGAATATGGCTTTACATGATTTCCACATCGGTTGGATTGTGAAGAAATTTTTGTTCGAATTTGAATTGACCTTGGCTCTTAACCGCTCTCTGTGTCCACTCAGAGGATTGTTAAACATATAAAATCAAGGCTCTCTGATAGTATTGTAGATAGGATTACTTGCTCCTTTTAAATCTTCTTTCCAAAGAGAAAAAGGTCAAGCATATATATAGTGTACTTTGAAATCGATCAGTGGGGTTTGATTAGGAACTGAAATGTGTTTCTTGGGATTGCTGTTTATTTAAGATGATTGAACTAAGGTGTTCAGCAAAAAGAGGGTAAACTTTGTAAACTGCGCTTATGTTCGAATATTAGCAGACAAACCGATAAACGAGCTTCGGAGTTTGATTTTTTTGTTTTTGTTTCATTCCCTTTCTTAGACACCAAATCGCGCAATGTGGTTCCGACTTTTAGAGAAATTCTCATATACCAGTTCTAAAATTGGTGTTTTGACCACAAATTTCCCTTGTTCCAAAGACCATGGTACCTTTATTTGATGACGCTTGTGCATTGTCATCCCATCTGTCACATGTCCGAGTTGGTGCTTTCAGAGTAACATAAGGTATACCCAATGGATTCATCAGCTTGTTTTCTGTTTTCGAGGACGAGTTATTTTTCCTTTCCGCATGTGGATCATTCGGGACTTGTTTGAATGAAAGGTTTAAACAGAAGACTCTGAAGGCACTGCATAGAGAGTGTTTTGAATGTAGATATCAAGGAAGCATGGAGATGACCAAAACTTGAGATGTTGGCTTTAAGGTTGGGATTTCTTCGAACTGAGTTGTGGCAGAGAATGCAGTGAGCCATGCCTTGGGTGTTGTATCTAACATTGTAGCAGGTGAGATAGTTAGGTATGATAGATAATGGAAGGTTTTTAGTGAGTGGCCCAAATTTCCATTTGGTCGTTAAGTATTTAAATGGTTTAGTATCCTCCACTGGTCGATGATACGACCTTTTTTCTTATTTGAATATGAACTTACAGAGGATGGTGGATGACTTGACACTCAGAAATTTTTTCATGCATCCCCAAATTGTGTTTCATGTTCGTGCATTAATATATAACTATTTTCTTAAACAGACTACGAGTAGGATGAACAAGCGCGGTATAAATAGGAGGTCACCAGCATTCTCTCTGAAGATCATCTGTGTTTGAGCACCAAGGAGCGAAAGAGCCACCTATTTTTGACGTTGATACAAATTGTGAGTTTCGATAGCTAGTGGAATATATCTCTGGCGGCTCATATAAAAATAGACTTTTGGATGACATGGTGTCGACAAATGACTAATGCCAGAACACTAAATATCCAAAAGCAACTATTCACTAGTTGTGGAGGAATAAGAGACTGGAACGAGATTCTAACCACCTTGCTGTCGTCTCTTCTTATATTATAACTATAATATAATGTATATCAAATACGATTCAAGGGCTGACACTCATCTTGAAGTACTCAGGGGAGTGCTTTTTTGAAGATTTATAAGTTATACACTAACTGATGAGAAGAGGTTTTCTCGTCATTACTCATACAGCGAGTGATATGAGTACCAAGATCAAATGGTTCCCGGAAGATGTGAAGAGACTACAGTAATAAATTGATCATAGCTGAGGGCTGCATGTTCAACTTCGTTAGAATCTGAGCTAAAAGATTAGGCAAAGAAAAGGAAATAGCAGAAGACTTAAGGTTGAAGAACACCCAGCATCAACAATACACAGTTTATAGTCTCTAGAGCACGTTAGATCTGATTTTACTAAAACAATGGATTAGAATATGGGTGTCATGTAAGTATCGCAATATTTTATCAAGAGAAGATTTTTGATGATGGTTACTAAGATGGGTAAAAAAGTAAAAGGTTGAAGAGAGAAAGAAAGGAAGGAGGAAGAAATATATATATATATATATACTTTGTAAGTATAAACCTTTAAGTTGAATAATAGCAGAATCCTTGACACTTTCTTATAATGGTGTTATGATAATATTGTGAATTTACTATAATGTTCTTTTATCGGGTTTAAATTCTCCTTCTACTCATACATTTGATGGATGTGATGGCATACCAGAATTTTGCAACACTAATGACTCGAATATGATACTAAACTTCGCTGGTAAAATCACGAAGATCGAGGAAATAAATCAGCAAATACAATGTAATCGTAACTTTTTAAGTTTGACCCTTACGTTACTCTTAGTAAACAAACGTCAAAACCACTCTCCTACAACACGAAGAGAGTTTGTCTTAGTTTTGTTTAGAACGAAGCAAAACGTCTGAAGCCTCAGTTTAATAAAGATCATCACCACGCACAAGAAGCAAGATATCACATGATGCCAGAATCAGAATCAATGATAGTACAGAGTGCCAGAATCAGACCGGAGGAAATCTAAAGACTTTCCTTCTCGTCGCTAGATATCAAGATTGGATAAACTCCGTGCACAAAAGTCTTACAGCCACCTGCCGGGCTGCACTTGATGATGATGGTCTCTAGAAGGACACTCACTATCCATCTTCCACAACGTGCAGTGCCTCCACATCGATCAGCCGAAGTGATTCCATGAATCTGTCACTATTGATCACATTTTCGATTGATAGATCCGGAATTCAGTCCTTAGCAGTTTCTGCTTGTAACCAACGGCCAGAGTGAACTGCACACCTCCCCACACCACAACTGAGGATTCTCCTGAGCTACTCAAGCTAGTTCAGGTCGATAGGAGCCTCGGACGATCTATTGCTCTGCTCAAATGTTGATTTGATGGTCATATTCTTGCACTGTACAGCTTCCCAGCCCAACGAAAGGAACAAACCTGTACGACTCAAGTACAGCAGCATGGAAGGGCGTGTCCCCGTTTGTCAACCTGTGCTTGGATTATGTGACCATCCGTGTTGTCTGATTCGCATGACACGGTTTAAGTTTGACGAGTCCAAGCAAGAAACTTCGCTTGCCTTTCCTCGATCCGGGGCCAACACTCTAAGCTCAGGTCGTTCTTATCCTCTTCCCCCCTTGCTGATGCAGAGAACCTTTTGAAGTTTTGATCTAAAGAGCTTTGACTTGCAAGAGTTTGTCTTTTAGAGTCGGAATGTGATATTTTAAGCAAGATCTTTTGGCGTCAATGGGTTTATGACATGTGCTTGGATCATATTGTCACCCTCGATGCAACTTTGACGGCAGAAGAGCTCACAACCTCTCATCGACTTAATGCTAGAAAGCAAGTTCTTCGTTAAATGGAAGAATCATTTGCAGCTATCTTCGTATCGGAGAGAAGCATCTGAATTCCATCCAGATGGCTCTCCAACTCTTACACAATTTCTGTAATGGGGGATCCCATATTAAGTTTGCATGCGAAGAGGCAAATACATTCCATTGAATCCAATTATGCAGTCAGCCACATTTACAAAAATATGCAATTAATTTTTGCTAACATAGCTATTATTAATTTACTATTCACGTGGTAGAAATTGAACGAGAGTGTTTGGAAGAGAGTTTTGGAGCTTGAGGGTTTGAACATGTGGCCATTGTGAAGAATAATTCGTGCATCAACATGATATCTTTAAAGCATGTAGTGAATTTGGCTCGACTATGATTTTGTTCTTATCTTGAAAATGTTCGGTGTGGATGCGTTAGTGGATGAGTTGAGAATAAAATAATGTTCAGAAGATTTTACATGAATAAAGTTGATGTACTTGTCATGAAAATCATGGGGAGAATTACTTTAAGTCAAACGTGGAGAGTATGAGTCTACTAAGATGACGTCAAGAAAGAAGTTCATGCAGAAAAGAAACGCAAAACAACTTCTGGAAATTACTTCTGGATAATTAAACAAAGTACAATTTTAAGCAATATGCTATCATTATATTTTCTTGAACGTATTTTAACTTGCAAAAATTCTTGATTATTATACTTACAAGAAGATTTCATCAAATACAAATTTGAGGTGAAATAAGCTTCAACTTTTTAGAAGATTTCTTTGCAATTCAAGGAATTCTGGAATTACTCTAAGTTGTTAACATTTGAGCCTAAGTAGCTATCTGAAGTTCCAAAATATGATAAATAGCTATGATTGAAGTTGATCATATGAAAAACTATATAGTGATCTTTAAATGCCTAGTGTTATAATGATGAACATTAAAAGATATGTGCATTTTGTATTCGAGAGACTAATAATTCATGATCTAAAGTTGCATCTTCAAAATTGGAAATCATTTCAGATGAGTAGAATCCGCCATTCTATCATATTTTCAAGATTTAAATAAATCAAGATAAAAAATAATCTTGCATGATACAAATTTTATTTATGAGCAAGATGCAATTTCTTTTTTAGACTTGTAATCTTTATTGGCTTTATATGCAAGGAAGTAAAATCATTTTCAAAGTCCTCACAAATAGGATTGAGAAAATAATAATAATAAATTTTCAAAATTAACGTTGGAAATCATTATTTGACATGATTATTGCTTTTGATAGCAATAATCTCAATCATAATTCTCATCTTTATTTACATTGTATGATGTAAGTTCATAGTTACATAGACAACTATGTGTTGAAGTTAAATTACTAATTTGAAACTACATAACTCTAAAGGTTGGATTATGCTCTCAATGTTACATGTCTTATGCAGTTGAATTTCTCTTACAGTTGCTTAACATAGAATAATTTTTTATAATACAAACATTGAAGATTTGTATTTTGAATATTTTATTGTAGATTTTAGAGTGTCAGTTACCATACTCTATGCAAGAAAGTGTTACAATCTCATTGGACGTAATTAAAAAGTGTACAATAAAGGACTGATATTTGGGAGTTTAGATTTTAGAGATAATGATGTGATTTTGAAGGATAATTTTACACCATGTAAAAATCTAAACTTTTGAAAATATCATAGATTGAAATATGATGATTTTATGAGTATGTTGAATTGTGTTTCATATGGATGAATTGATGGAAGGTGTAAAGCTTTCACACAACACCTATGCACAAAATGATGACATTGATAATCTTCAAAGACATTCACATGAATAGCAACGGTTGGGAGACCACATATCTATTACCTATTATAGTTTAGATTCTCTAGTTAATTTAGACGTTAAAAAAAAGTCAATTTAGATAACTTAGTCGCTTTTCGGTTTACTATCGCCTAAAATAATCATAACTAAATATATATATATAAATCTATATCTGATTAATATTAAATTTAAAGCATAATCAGGAGTTAACATAAAAATATTATAGAAAATCTTATTATATTCAGGGCAATAGAGAAAATGCTTGTCACCGTACTCCATCTTGGTGATAATTTTTGAATTTGCAAGCAAGTGGATTTGAGTCTTTATTGCAGAGGCTCCCAGAAGAAGGTTTAGAATGTTCTTTCAAAATGCCAGAGGTTCATCATACAAAATACACTATATCGAGATAACAGCTTTTACGTACGTGTACGTCTTGTACACTCACTCATACTCGGATGAGCTCGACAGACACTTTCTC